TTTTTTTTTTTAGAGAGAGTGGAAGGGAGGGAGGGGACAGGAAGAGAGGGGGAGAGAGAGAGAGGGAAAAACATGGATGTGAAAGAGACACATGGATTGGTTGTCCCCCGCACACACCCCTACAGGCCCAGATCGAGCCTGCAACCCAGGGACATGCCTTTGACCAGGAAGAGAACCTGAGACCCTTCGGTGCTCGGGCCGGACTCTAACAGACTGAGCTACACCAGCCACGGCTGCCCTTGTTCTTTTAGAGTGCCTTTCTGATGTTCTGGAGAATTTTGTAGTTTTTGGTTTTACTTGTGACTCCAGTTGTATGTGTTGGTTTTCCTATTGTTTAAATGAGATTAACCATACTTTAAGCACCTGCAATTTCTCAGTAATTTTCTGAAGTGATTAAATACTATACTTGGGACTTCCTTTTTTAAAAACATTTTAAAATTGATTTTAGAGAGAGGAAGGGGGAGAGAGAGAGAAACATTGATTGGTTGCATTTCCCACATGTCCTGACCAGGGATCTAATCTGCCACCTTTTGGTGCACGGGACTGAGCCACACTGGCTGGGGCTACATGGGACTACTTGAGGAAGGCATGAGACAGTCATAACTAGTTCTTTGAATATAAATTGTCAAATAGTAGTATTTTAACTGTCCAGTTACTTTCACAAGTCTTTTAATTGAACATTTTTTTAAGAATACAGATATCCATAGGTATCTTTTATTGGTTATCTATTAAAAATATTTGCGATACACATATCAAATGCACTGACTTGAACATGGGTTTTGAAATGTTTCATATGTTCATTTCCTCACCTTAGTCTTTATCCCAAGGGTCTTAAATCCTAGTATTGAAAATTGAACTCTAATAAAAAGCGTTGTAATCATATCAGCAATAATCACTGTGTCTTCTGAGAGTCACAAGCATTCCAGGCCTCAGTGATGCCTCTTTTTCTTTTGATCTCGTTGCTTCTCTTCTTTCTGATTCAAAATTTCTTTTTCAACTTTATCTCCTTCAGTCTCTTTCTTTTATGTTTTCTGTATAGACATTTAAATTTCAAAAATTTTAAATTATTCACATATAGAAAGGCTAATTTGAAGATACCTAGTATTTATTGGTTCCATGTTTGTAATAAGGTAACTGAGATTTTAAAATCTAGTTTTTGAAATAAATTTGTGATTTAAGGTTTTTATTATTTTGATTTTCACAGTGAATTCTATGAGTATCATGCACTAATGATGGAAGAAGAAGGAGCAGTAATTGTTGGGCTACTGGTTGGCCTGAATGTGATAGATGCTAATCTGTGCGTAAAGGGAGAGGATTTAGACTCTCAAGTAAGTGGAAGTGACTGGTACCAAGTGCAGTGTTTGCAGTTTGCACTGTTCCTTTTTGATCCAGGTATTACCCTAAGTTGTAAACAGTGCTGTTAAACAGTAAAGAAAAATTAAGAATGAAATTCAGTTGCATGTTAAAGGTACTTCTGATATTTCTCCCCTTTAAATGGAAATAACTTTATTTATAAATTCAGGTTGGAGTGATTGATTTTTCCATGTATTTAAAGAATGAAGATGATATTGGAAATAAAGAAAGGTACGATTTTCATAAGTTACTTCACATGTATTTTTTTATGTAGCTCTTTATAAATATGATGTCCATCTATTTATAATGTGGTTTTTATTTTCTTTATTTGTGTGTAGTTCCTGCTTTGTTTAGTTTTCATTTCCATTTAAAAGCTTTACAAAGCAAAAACCACTTGGAGGGAGGCTTTAGTATGATGTATGACTTTGGTTATACCTGTAGTTCCTGAGACCCATTTTAATAGTTAGCTGTGTTTTGTGGAAAAGGGGATGAAAGCTTATTATTCACAAACTTACATATGTTGGTTTACTGCAAGATTTAATTGTGTTTAAATTTAAAATATACTTATTCCAACTACAAAAGAAAGGATAATTATGTAATGTGATAGAGGTGCTAATTACGGCTACAATGGCAGTCATATCACAATATATAAGTGTATCGAATTAACATGTTGTACACCTTAAATTTACACAATGTTATATGTCAGTATATTTCAATAAAAATAAATCACATGGATGCAAAAGTTTTAAAAATACTAATGGTACTGTTAAGTCTAGTATTAGCAAGTAATTTAATAAAGATTATAGTTATTCAGTACACTGCTTGCTGCTACATGATTATAAAGGTTCTTGAATTTTATTTTAAAGGTAAAATAATGTTTTATCATTATGGTAACAATAATTTTAGACATTTATTTTGGCATTCAGCAAATACCTTTCCAATGAACACACAACTACTTTTCTCCCCTCTAGGAATGTTCAAATTGCTGCCATATTAGACCAGAAGAATTACGTTGAAGAACTAAATAGACAACTGAAGTAAGTATTATGGATACTTGGAACACTTAGCACACTCATGCCTGTGTCTTAGGTTCCTCAGTTAAGCCAGCTTAACCCTATTCCTTCTGCATAGCTTTGAGAAGAGGTTGAGGAGACAGAGAAAATCGGAATTAAGGATACAGAGAATTATTGGAGATAATTCTGACGATGCCTCCATAGATACTTTATGCAAATAAACAAGAATAACCATATATATTTTTTTATTTTTAAATTGATTTGCGAGAGCAAGAGAGAGAGAAACATTGATTTGTTGTTCCACTTACTTATACATTCACTGGTTGCTTCTTGTATGTGCTCTGACTGGGGATTGAAACCACAACCGTGGCATTTTGGGACAGTGCTCTAACCAACTGAGCTACCCGACCAGGGCTTGCATGTGTTTTCTTATATTTCTCACCTTCCCCCAGATCTTTACACATAAGGTAGCATACTTTTTTTTATACTATGCTGTACTTTGTTTTTGCTCAATAGTTTATCTTAGAGTCTATTCCATTTGGTCAAAATGAGCTTTCCCAGTCTTTTAAATTATGTGAGTGTTAACCAGTTACTGCACTACTACTGCCTTACTTTTGTATATTTTATGTATTAAAAACATTTCATCGTTTTTCTAATTAGAAAATAGTTCTTGTACATTTAGAATATTTCAGAAGTATAGAAAGCAGAATAAAAAATAGAACCTGTTATCCCTCACTCAGAGAAAACTGCTGTTGAGGGTTTATTGTTTTCAACAGAGCTTTTATTATTATTTCTTTATTCTCATTTAAAGGTAGGGCAAATATTATTGTCTGATTTTATAGGTAAGGAAACTAAAGCTCAGAAAGGTTTTACAAGGTGACACAATTAGAAAGTAGGAAATCAGGGACTATAACCTTGGTCTTTTATCTTTTGGTCTGTACTTGTTATATCTCATCAGGATACCCTGGTGCTGTTTGTTAAAAACGCAAGTTGTTTACCTAAGAATGATTATATTTAAAAAATGATTTGCTATGAATGAAAAACCATTTTTCTTGTTTCACAGATAAACTAAAATGTCAATACTTGTTTCTGAGGCTGGTATAAAATTTGTTGAATCTGTTATAGATTTTTACTGTAATGTATACAGCATATTACATTTTATTAGAGAAAGTTTGAGGTGGTAAAATCAAGCAGGCCTTGAAAATCAGACTCAGTAAAATATACAGTAATGTCCAGTCTTGATTGATTAAAACAAAAATATAAAAAACAAGTGTGTTCACCTGACTTTTGACTATATCCTTGAAAGGTGGGGTGTTTACTTAGCTTCTGGTTGACTGGGTACCTGATATTAGGTATCTCATATTCATATTTCTCAACAATGGGTGACTTTGGAGGTCTTTAAGTTATTATGAAAGTGGAGAGGGGAAACAGAATGGGGCTTCTGTAGATGAACACTGTTTATAAGCTTCAGTAAGCCACTTAATTATAAAATGGACATTTAAAGTTCATCCTTTAAAAAATAATTTTAAATTTAGTTTTAACAATATTTAGTAATCTTTGTGTGGAATTTCCATTCCTAAATATTATAAGTTAAATGTAAAAGGGACTCTAAGAAGACAAAAAATAATGAGCAGCATCAAATGAAATTTTAATAGAAATATTGATTCTTTTGCTACAGTCTTTATTGTTCTTCTAGCTAAAACAAGTTATCCATCTTAGTGAAATTTCCCACACTCAAAAATTCAGACAGGGCAGTTAGTGCATGTTGTTCAACATGAGTCCAGGATAACGTACTTTTTCTTGCCTTTGTGAGTTTGTGTGATTTTGAATGAGTTTTTTCTTTATTAATTTCAGCAGCACAGTCAGCAGTCTCCATTCAAGAGTTGATTCATTAGAAAAGTCAAATACTAAGCTGATTGAAGAGGTATTGTCATCCAGCCATGGATAATTTCACAGACCTAGTATTTGTAATCCTTTTTCATTTTCAGTATGATTGTATTAAGCGCACACATATTTTCATTATTATGATGGAATACTTGTAACACAGTTGTAATTGAGAAGTTTGAGAGAAACCACACGTATTAGGTGAATCTGAACTGTTTCGAGATACTCAGCTTCTGGAAATGAGCCTCAGAGATGAAACTCATACATACTCTTACATAAATAAGCTGTTACTCATTTTTAAATCTGGGTTACCCGAATTTAGATAGCAGAATCACCTATAGTTAGAATTTCCTGCTAACATGATACTCTCCCTCTTGTTCAACTATTGAGATTACTTTTCTTTTCAAGCATGATCACATCCACCCTTTCTCCACCCTCCCATGTGTTAAATTCATCCCATATGCTCTGCTTTCCTCCATTGTCAAAGTGGCTATCTGGTAGTCTGAGAACCAGAAATTTATCTTAGCTCTCTTTTTAATACTGTTTTTTAATCTAACTTGAAAAAAGTCTATCAATACATAGATGTGTTGCTTTCTATTTTCAGAATTATTTAGGGTAAAGGAAAAAATCTGTTATTTTCTTAGTGCTATTTTTCATATTAATTAAAATTCTTCTTTTAAAACTTGCCAAATTTTTTCAAGCCAGGGAACACGATTGTTTGTATGGCTGCAGTTAAGTATGCACCTTCATTTTGATAATTTGGGATCATTAGATATAGCTCCTCACTGGTTTGTGCCTCCTCTTGGCCTTAGGAATACTGTGAATACAGTTCAAGTTGTATCCTTGATAAACTATTCAGAAATTTACTGGTAAGCCAGCATTGGGGAGTGGTCTCTGCTGTCCTTTCCCAGAATCCTTTTTATTCTGGGCCTCAGAACCAAGCCACTTAGTCATTCATGTTTAACTCTGATGAGGAGAGCTGACTCTTATTGGCAATGGTCACTCAGTGTGCCATGTTTCACAGGGTATCCTGTTCGGTTATCATGAATGTCATTTTCAGTGACAGCAAAACTTTATTTCCTTAAAGATGTTTCTATCTTTGCACAAGTCTTTACAGTTTTAGTGTTTAACACATAATTCTTTATATACTTAGGCACTTTGTATTCAGGACATATTGTAAACCAGATAAGCATAGTATATATTTTAATATGTCTTTACTGATTTCAGAGAGGAAAGGAAAGGGAGAGAAAGAGAGATAGAAACATCAATGATGAGAGAGTCATTGATTGGCTGCCTCCTGCGCGCCCCCTACTGAGGTTCAAGCCCAAAATCTGGGCATGTGCTGTGACCAGGAATCGAATCGTGATCTCCTGGATCATTGGTCGATGCTGAACTGCTGAGCCATGCTGTCCAGGCCAGCATAGTATGTTTTGATTGACATAATATATATCGACTAACAAAAGGAAATAGTAGAAATTAGTAAATTTCTTTTTTATCTTACAGGAGCACATTTTTCTTATGAAAGTTTCTGTAGTTGTGAGAGATATTTTTACTAGTTTTAGGATTTTATTTTCTATTATTGATAGCTGTGAACATAACCTGTAAAGGAAGTATAAATAAAGATGTTTAAATTTTTTTTCTTGCCCCTGTTTTATAATTTTTAGTTAGCAATAGCAAAGAATAATATCATTAAACTTCAAGAAGAAAATCATCAATTACGAAGTGAGAATAAATTGATTTTAATGAAAACACAGCAGCACCTAGAGGTATGTATAGACTGACTGTAAACAGACTGTCTTGTGTCAGAAATTGTTACTTTTTGGGGACTTTGGTATAGCCTGGGTATTCCTGTGCTGTACTAATAGTAGTGATTATAGAATAAAAAGTTTTCTTCCTAGGTTACCAAAGTGGATGTGGAAACTGAACTTCAAACATACAAGCATTCTCGTCAGGGACTAGATGAAATGTACAATGAAGCCAGAAGGCAGCTTCGAGATGAATCTCAGTTACGACAGGTAGGTTGCATTAAAGCTACATTAGCAAATAATAATAGTAATAATAATAATAATAACTGTTAAGCAAGCACTACTTAAAATCTCTTTCAGCCTTATCTTTCTTGGTGTGGGGTAGCAATCAATATTACTCACTTAATCCCCTCCAATTCTTTAAGCTCCCACTGTGTCAGTGTCTTTTGTTATTGTTTTTTAAATATGTTTTTTTATTGATTCAAGAGAGAGGAAGGGAGAAGGGGAGAGAGAAACATCAGTGGTGAGAGAGAGTCATTGATCAGCTGCCTCCAGCATGGTTTCCTACTGGTGACTGAGCCTGAAACCTCGGCATGTGCCCTGACCAGAATTGCACCATGATCTCCTGGTTCATAGGGTGACACTCAACCACTGAGCAACACTGGCCAGGCTGTATGAGTGTTTTTTAAACAGTGTTTTTTAACAGTGTTTTTAAACTATTACAATCTGTTTGTGAAATAATAGATTGTGACCAACATTATTAAAAAGGAAATAGAAGAGAATGATGCATTTAAATATTAGTAAAATCATATTTAAAATGAACTTATTTTTTACCCTTTTAAGTTATGAAATATAATACAGAAAAACACAAATGTATAGCTTAATGGATTATAATGAAAATACCTGGGTAACTGCCACCCAAGTCAAGAAGAGAATATTGCCAGCTTTTTCATCCCTTTTGCTTTTTGTCTTTAATATTAGGAAACATCTTTTTGTTTTGATGTAAAATTCTTTAAGAGAAGAAATTAAAATTGTGAAATGGGATTTTTTAGTTTTCTTTGGCTTTCGCTTGTATGGACTGCTTCATTTGTTTATTTAAGCAAAATCAGTACTGAGTTTATGAGGCATGAAAATGCTTCGTGAGCCAGTAGAATCGTGATAATTGACAGTCTAGGAAGTGCTTTCATTTTAGCAAAGTATGCATTTGAAAATATTGATTTTTATTTATTGATTAGAGAGAGAGAAATATCAGTTTGTTGTTCCACCTATTTATTCTTTCATTGGTTGCTTCCTTTATGTGCCCTGACTGGGGATCAAACCTGAAATCTTGGCGTATCTGGCTGATGGTCTAACCAGCTGAGCTACCCTGCCACGGCTGCATTTGAAAATATTTAGAATGTTGTTATAGAGCCTGATTTATTCTCTTTACTGGGGCTTATATAACTCAAAAGGAATAGTCTACGTATTGAATAGAAACTCATTTTTTTAATCCTTACCCAAGGATATGTGAGGGTTTTTTTTTTATTGATTATAGAGAGAGGAAAGGAGAGAGAGAAAGAGAGAAACATTGATGTGGGGAAGAAACTTTGATCAGTTGCCTCCTGTATTTGCCCTCACCAAGGATCGAACTCCATAACTTAAGGTATGTGCTCTGACTGGGAACCAAACCCACAACCTTCCTGGTGCATGGGACAATGCTCCAGCCAACTGAGCCACCTGGTCAGGGCTGAATAGAAACTCTTTCTGGGTCTTGCTTACAATTGTGTATCTGATTTTGACATCCTGAAATGGCATGTGAATTGAGGATATGTTGCAATTACAGGATGTGGAGAATGAGCTAGCTGTACAAGTTAGTATGAAGCATGAGATTGAACTTGCCATGAAGTTGTTGGAGAAAGACATCCATGAGAAACAAGATACTCTGATAGGCCTTAGACAACAACTGGAGGAAGTTAAAGCAATTAACATAGAGATGTACCAAAAGTTGCAGGTAATGAATGTTATTAAATTCTTGGAATTTCTTGTTACATCAATTGAAAATGAGTATTTGTATAAAGGGTTTGGTTTTTAAGAGATGAGCCTGTTTTAACTGTGCCATATTGGTTATAAAAAGCAGTGAGTTATTTTTTTCGTAAATGGAAGCTCAAGAAAAGTAGCAATGAAAAAAGTATCAAAGAACAGACAAAATCACCTATCCAAATTTGTTTTTTTAATGCTGAAAGGCTAACAGCATGAAGGTTAAATCTTTTGGAAGAACTCAGTCTAAATATGCAAGACATTTTTGTGAACTTCTTTATACAGTATAGTGCTGAGAAATATTTGATTTTGATTGAAATGCTTTATTATAATGATTATGAATTCTCTAATAAAGTGACACTTTTGTTAAGTAGACTTGTTGCCAAAATCCCTTTACAATTTAATTTGAAAAATAGTGTACTTTACAAGAGCTTATCCTGTTGTTTTCCAAAAACATTGAAGGCTGAGTGTTTCTTTTTCCTTTATTATATTTTAAATGAAGCCTAGTAATACTACTGCTTTGTATCACAGGAGTATTTTAATCTGTAAATTAACTCTGCTCATTTCAAAGTAACAGTCCCATAGCAAAATGGCATACAAAATTTACAAATATTCAGGTTTAAAAATCAAAACCACTATAGCTTTTGTTTTTCTAAATAGGGTTCTGAAGATAGTTTGAAAGAAAAAAATGAAATAATTGCTCGACTAGAAGAAAAAACCAATAAAATTACTGTAGCCATGAGGCAGCTGGAACAAAGGTACAGCATTTCCAGTCTTTGTTTCTTTTTTTCCTTTCTTTCTCCCCCTTTTCTTTATTCAACTCTGACACCTGCCACAAAAACCACTAGGGAAAGTTAGATTGGGACATGCTTCTAAAAGGCCTAAATAATTCATGGCCCAGCAGAATTTTGCCTTTTTGTTTTGGTTGTTGCATGGAATCAAGTTGCTTTATATTAGGCTAATTAATTTGAACTTGCCATTTTATAGATTTTTTTTTTTAAAGGCCCACTATCAGCGATTTTATGTGGTTCAATCTATTATGTTACATAAAACAAATACACAAACAGATACCTCAAAAAGTGTAAAATGAACAAAATTCATGGTGGACTTATCCCTGATTGATGTCCATGCATATTGATTGTCATATCCTTTGTCATTCACCATCTCTTTATCTGAAATCAAGCTTTCTGAGTTGACAGTTGAGTTGTGTTTCTTTGAGCTAGGCTCCTTAACCCAAGAAATAATTTTGTTTAAATTGAATTGTTTTATATTGGCATTTTTCACTTTTATTGTTGGAAAATGTAATGTATTTCCATTGACCTGTCATGTTGGTGTCAACATATGTCTTACCATTGCTTTCTTTGAATCTACTTATGAAAAACATAACTATTAATGCTTTATTGACATGAATATTCTTTTATTGACATCCTCTTTCTTCTTTTTTCTTTTTTGTTTTCTTTATCCCCATTTTTACATTTTGGACATCTTTATTACCTTTTTCTGTCTTTGATTTCTGTCCATTCCATTATGAAGTGACAATGATTTGTTAACTCAAACTAGGACAATTGCAATGTCATTGGTGAAATGTGCCAGTAGTGACACTCAGGACCAGTACAAGCTGGTCAAAGATATATCTTTCTAAAAACCACTTGTATTTAAATAGACTAAAAGAGAATCAGCAATTTTATAATATATTAAATAGGAAAAAAATTATGCTATTAAGTCTTCTAAAAGGGTATTAGGGACCCTGTACACTTCTTGATCAGCTGCTGTGGTGATACACTGCCATCAAGCAGAGTGGGTGCACTTGGATTTCTAAAACACATCCCTCAGCCTTGTGCACAAGGGCTGATTTTGAGTATTGACCTTTGGAGGTCAGGATATTCAAATGCAGTTTTATCTTTTTAGCTACTTTTTGATGGAAAATGTAAAAATTTAGTTTAAAAATAAGTTAATCTTTGGTTTCACAGTGTGTTGGCACAGACACCACCCC